TCGCATCATAAAAGCCGTAATCTGTGCCAAGGCTTTATCTGGCGATTCATGTTATTGGCGCTCAAGAAAGTCAGATCGACCGCAGCTGAATTGTAGCGTTACTGCAGCTACTTCGCAGCGTTTGAAAGTCGGCAACTGCGCTGCAAAACCGCTGCCGAGAACTTCAAAGAGCCTTCAAAGGCTGCACAGCGCTTTTGCATCCCGCTGCAACTTGAATGAAGCTGCTGTTTGGCTTCTAAAAGGCTGCTGAACAGCTGTAATTTAGCTGTACAGCTATTTTGCAGCGATTTTGTGGCACTGTACAGCGCTGCAAGTTTCGTACGGGTGGGCTCCCATGCCATTCTAGAAATCAATTTATTGGCCATGAGTCATGTGTCAGGCAACCTCCAGCGCAGACGTAGGGGGAGAGGGCAGATTGAGGTATTTGAAAAGATGCTTACGGGCTCTCCACTTCTCTCTTCCCGCCATTTTTCACTTGTTCGTTATTTCACAGCTTGCTCGCTTTAACAACTTGTCCGCACTGACTGAGAGCCTGACACAGGTTACATTTTGCAGGGACACCACTCGTGGGATCACCAAATTTCTGCTGTTTTCTTAGGCTACCACTGCTTTGGCTCTGTGTGTTATATGCAGGGTTCGCACATCCCTTGAAAGTCCTTGGAAGTTGTTAAATTTTAAAATTTTAGTTCAAGGCCGTGAAAGCCCTTGAAAATTCCCGGCGGTTCTGGAAAGTCCTTGAATTTCAATGCTAACTTTATAGTTTAAGTGGAACTTCAAAGTGAAAGAAGCAAACACAGAAAGACCTTCAGGATGAAATTACCTCATGTTGTAGAAGAGCTAAAAAAGGCATAGACTCATGGTTCATTTTTGCCCTGAATGGAGAAATGTCCTTGAAAAGTCCTTGAAGTTTTTGTTCAAAACCTTTAAATGTATTTGCGTTCGACAGACACTAGTAGCAAGTTTTCTTCCTTTTCAGTGGGTTCCAGAAATAACCCATCACTGTCCGAAGACACCGTTTTTACTTGTTGGTACCCAAGTCGACTTGCGTGATGATGCTTCAACAATAGAGAAGCTAGCCAAGAACAAGCAAAAACTCATCACTGTTGAATCTGCAGAAAAGCAAGCACGAGAGCTGAGAGCTGTCAAATATGTAAAATGCTCTGCATTAACACAAAAGGGCCTGAAAAATGTCTTTGATGAAGCAATCTTAGCAGCACTCGAACCTCCAGAGCAACTGAAGAAAAAGAAATGTACATTGCTTTGAATAATGGACTGGTACATGTAAATTGATGTGGAAAATGACACTTACAATCTTGATTTGGGACAAGATTCTGTTTGTCCACACACCTAGCTATGCAATGAATGCTGTGTAGAACTGGAGTGGATTAATACATAGGTGTTCTAAACAGAAGCTGTGTAGATGTACCATTCTCTAAAGAAAGAGTTGTAAAAAAATGTCTGAATGTTTAAAGTGAGAGCCAAAGACTATGATTTATTTGTTTTGACTTTTATGGCACTAGCAGAGGTTCTTGCTTGTCAAATGAAACTCTCTTTCTTTGATTCTGCTTTGCTGTTTTAATATTATGATATATATCTATCGTCACTCATAGAAGCATAAACCTCTTGATAAATTGAAAGCTGTGCCATTAGGCATGTATGGGTATTTATGGTGACAAACAAGAGTGTTTCAGAATCAAGGCAAAACTAGTAGGTGATGATAAATTGAACTGGTACCTCTGTGTAACCCAACTTGCCAGTTACCTGACCAAATCCTTCAGTTTCTTGATCCAAGCAAGGTAGCTAATCAAAAGTGCTGAATATTGCTCTGGAATTTAATTGGCTTCTATTGGTATTGTATATTATTTTGCTAACTTTTCATGTAGCAATGGGTAGCTGCATGATATGTGATTTTGTGTTTTGTTGGCAGTGGATTTACAAAAATATAAGTTATTGCATCAATCATTCTAGTATCAGTCAATAACCATTCATGACCTTCTGTTGATCTGTTGGGAAGGCCTATAGCTGCTATAAGCTTTTCTTTCTCCTTTAGTGATTGTCAAATTCTCTAATAATGTACCTGTTATTAGTAAGTATGCAGTAAGAGCGGGATTGTAAGGTTCAATCGTATTCACACTGTTCTGGAAAGCTTTCATGTTGTCTCATTTGCTTTTTTGTGTTCACACATGAAATGCCATTTTTCAGCTGCTGCATAGCAGTGTTAATCGAACTGAAAAACTTGGTACCATGTTGGAAGTTTTAGCCTTTTGTTTTGTGTTTTTGTTCACATTGTACCATATCAGTTTCTGTGCTGGCACAAAAATCCTTGTGGTACAGTGTGAACAGTGCTTGAATGATGAATATTATCTAGAAGGAAACAAAAGCAAGATTTGGTGTAAATTCACATTTCTGAGAGTTTTTGAGGACTCATTTAAGAGGTGGACATGAGGTAATTTTTTTCTAGAAAACTTAAAGTAATAATATTATTGGATGGCCTTAGATTCTTGGTGTGTTGATGTTGAAATTGATAATTTTCCTTCATGTAAAAAGGATCAGTTATAAGCTATTGACTGCATCTCGCTGTTCTCTTTTTTTGACCCTTTAAGTCCCAATATCCCTGTACAAATTCTCCAAAATTTTCTCAATACATTTCCTAAAGAGTGTTAACAGAATTTGATAAAAGATCTATGCAATTTCCCTTTGTTAATCACTTTGATAATTCTCACAACTATTTCTCTTGAAAATGTATTTAAATTGCTAGGAGAAAATTGATGTTGGTCAATCTTGAGATTTACAGGGTTAAGCTCTGGCAATTTAGTGGAAATCTTGTTGTGCATCCATTGCAGTCAATGGCTTGACTATTTATTTTATTGAAGATTATTGTGTTGAATTCTAAAGTGATCAGTTGTGTGCTTACTAACAATACTTTTTACAACTAGATACATTCAAAATGGTACAGAAATAAAAAATGTGAACAGCAACGTTAAAAAATTAAAGGAACCTGGTGTCGATGAATACCAAATTTTGTAGATGCCTGTGCAATAGGGCAGTTGCATGATGATGTCATTTGACAATAATACCCAGAATCCCTCAGTCTGATGTGTTCTTGTGCATATAAGTGTTGTTTCTTAAACCTAGCATGGATGAGAATTTTAAATGTAGGGAAACAAAATGATTTCTGGTCACTGTAGTCAAATGACATCGTGAAAATGGCCTTTTTAAAGGGATAGGAACAACATGTTGAGAATTCTTGAGGTCAATATAAAACTAATTGCAAATGCATTTTTTGTGCCTAGTGTATTTAACGAAAGTTTAAAAATTTCAAAATTTATAAGTATTTGTATGGAAAGCCACTCAAGCGTGACTGGGTGGCAAGAATTGTTTTTCTCATAAAAAATCCTTTTAATTTTTAGTGGCCGTTGCAATTGCTACTTTGATATATGCGGCTGAAAATTTACTGGTTACCAAAAATTAATTTGATATGCTCTTTCAGCTCCTGCTAACAAAGTTCCAAAAGCAAACTATTTCGTGATTACAGAAAGTTGATCACGTGACCCATTATTGCAAAAACCCGCCAGGGAATGGGAAGTTTGGGTAGAAGTGTGCCTCTGAGGCCTTAAAGCTTTCACTTTTGCTACCATGTCTAACCATTCAAGCCCCAATATCCAAATACAAATTCTCCACATCAGTATCTATAATTAGGGACCAGTCATAATTTAAGTTGGAGGGGGGGGCGGGTGGAGGAGAAATGGGGGGGCCTTCAATTTTTTTTGGATGGAATATGGGGGGCCTTAAAATGCCAAATATGACCATGGGGGGTCTTTAAGTTTCTTTTAAGTGGCATCCGTACTGAGCAGCACGATGTTTGAGTATTAAAGGACCTGATTTTGATTCAGTTTTACACAAAGTCCTATATTGTGTAATACTAAAACAATTTAATCAGCATTTTTACAAAAAGACTTAATGCTCAAATAGTAGGTGCATCAACACAACATCCATTATTGTGTAACACTAAAACAATTTCATTAGCATTTTAACAAATGATTACATGTATAAAGTCATGTTATGCAATCTCACTATCCCATTCATTATTTGTAGATGAGGTTGATGTGGACTCACTGTCTGCGTCACCGTCAAGTTTTTTGCTGTTAGAGCATGTACTGCTCATATAAAAAGCAGTAAGCTTTGGCTGATCATTTTATTTCTTCCTTGAAGCGGTCCTGTCGGCCTCTCACCTTTTGATGGCTTGTCTTATCTCAATTATAACACAATCACTGATATATCCTTGCTCTATAAGCTGTTTGAGAGGCTCTAGGTGAAATCTCTTTCTCAGTTTAGTGTGAAGTGCTTCTCTGTTGTTAGTTGGCACATCCCAAAGTGACAGTGAGTAAGAACGGTAAAGTAAAGAAAATGTTATTTGTTATTACCATTTGGGTATTATGTATAAGAAAGGGGGGCCCTTAAATCTTTTAACATGATTGACGGGGGAGGGGGGTACCTAAAAAACATGGGTGCTATTAGTGGGGGTCCGGAAAAAATTTGGAATAAAAAACAATTTCTCCTCCACTCCCCCCTCCAACTTAAATTATGACTGGTCCCTTAGTTGAGAGAACTTCATAAAAGATCAAAGCATTTCTCGTTTGTTCATCATTTTGTTAATTCTCCTAACCGTTTTTTCTTTTTTTTGATGTCTTGATATAGTAAGGAGAAAATTTATGTTGGTCACTCTTTAAGACTTGCATGGTTAAAGCACGAGACCATTTTTTTTATGACCGTTTCATTTAATTTTGAGGAGAGGTTTTTAATCAAGTCTGGCACAATAGAATTACAGTTCTAACAAAATTGTTTGGACCAGACATGGCCAATCTTGAACCCCTCAGCCTGCTTTAGAGTCGAGACCTCCAAAACCGTACCCTGTTCAACGGCACATCCTTGTTTAGGCCCAGATAAGGGAGTGTCTCCGTCCCTCTTGGAGTTATATCACTTAGAGCTGAATTGAAACC